GTTGAAAACCCCAGATTCTAGGCTTCAAATGAGAGGAGTGATGCCATATGCTTTCTTCTCTCATCTACCTAAGCTTTGAAGTACAAGTATCTGGTGGACTAGTCAAAACTCAAAAGGCAAAGCTGACTCAAATTCCACTGTTGTACACCATACACACACAAACCAAATGTAACCCATGGGTGTCCTAGTAGTAAATGAAGTGGGATGAAAACCTCAACACATGCAAACAATGCTATATGCTGATTCGAACTACACGACCATTGTATGTATATGTATGTCAATATTCTTGTTATTCACATAGGAAAGGAAGAAGAAAGGGGTGTTACCTTAACAGGTGGAGTGGCAGTAGCCCTTACAACAAAGGAAGCCTTCTTGATTTGAGATTGGAAAGGTCTTCCTCCTAGAATTTGTCTGGCAGCCTCTGTTGAGGATGCAATAGATGATGAAGAGATCAATGCCTGTGTTGCCATCTTTTGTTTTCTGATTAGAGCAATTGACTTGTGTTGAAGATGAACACACACTCAGCTTCCAAGAGTAGTAGACACAAGGTGGCAAGCAAAATAAGGGACAAAGGTATAGGCCAGCAAGTGTAGTGTGGGGCTAATGGAAAACAGAGAAGTTGTGGTGGACATAAGAAATCTTGAATTCTCAGATAAAGTTAAGGATTATATTGTCAAATGAAAAGAGCACATGTGGCATTATTACTTGGATAGAAGATTTTATACACTCCTAGTCTCATAAATGAATTTTCAGATACTCTAGTTGGCTGCAAATACTTGCTCTAGATTTTAATTTCATTTTTGGAATTCAAGTAAATGTAAATATCAATACTATTAAGTATTCCACACAAAAGAGGATTAAATATATGTTTTAAGTGTTGTTTTAAAGGTGGAGGGAGAGTTGAACTCTCACCAATAAGATAAAACGCCAGATAGTCAATCTACTAAGATCTCCATTGTCGAAGTATTGATGTGCCACCTACAATTTTTATTAGATTAAGACAATCAATTTGAATTTAAAAAGAAGAAAAAAAAAAAGACAAGTTAAGGCAAGAGGGTGGTCTTCAAAAGTTTCTACTAAATAATACTTTTGAGAAGTTTTACATTATGGATGTCAGTTTGGTATGGCAATTTTTTCACATATGGCTAAAATGTATTTGGAAGATGTTTTCCTTACAAAAATAAGTTTGTTAGAAAATAAAGATAAGGACTTAACTAATGAAAGAAAGGAAATTAAGTTTCTTCTAGTAACATTTCACGTTCATTGTCTCCTTTTTGTTTTTCTTACAAAAAAAAAGTTTGTTTGAAAATAAATATAAGTTAATGACTAATCTAATGAAAGAAAGGAAAATAAGTTCACAAGTGACATTTCACGTTCATCGTCTCATTTTTATCCATTCCAGTGTTTTTAAACGTGTTTGAGGTGAGTTTTTAGGCGGATTACATAAAGGGAAAAGGGTCAAAAATAACCCTGGACTATTAGAAAAGGTTTATAAATACTCCTCATTCACCTATTGGGTTAAAAATACCCCTTCATTCTCGTTTTTGGTCCATAATTACCCTTAAAACTAACAATTTTTTATTTTTTAATTATTATTATTATTATTAATTATTATGTGACATGTTTCTATTGGATAAATTTAAATTTCAACCCACCAAAACTTTTCTATCCATTTGACCCATATCCACATTTTTTTTTACCCAAATCAAATTAAAAATTCATCAAAAATAAAATATTTGAACATTTCTTCTCTACCATTCCAACCTAATAACTTACTCTCTTTCTCATCACCATATACAACCTCAATCAATGATAACTACTGAATTTAATGCTAATTAGAACTAAAAAGCTCTTCTTGATTTTGTTAGAATTTCGTCAATGCTATCATTAAAATACAATCAAATAAAACTTTTTTGTGTAACTCCACTATGTAAAATAAAATCTTTGAAAAGAGTGAACCAAAAGGAAGAAATAAGAAGACCCAATTCAGGTTTTCTCAATGCGACCATGAAAACACAATTAATAACAACTCATTTAGTGTAACTCAACCATGAAAATTGAATCTTTTGAAAAGGGTGTAAACCAAAAGGGGAAGAAAGAAACGAGACCAAGTCAAATTATATCAATTCCACTATTAAATCACGATTAAGAAGAGCTATCTAGTGTAATTTCTCCTTAAAAAAATTGAATTCATGGTGTGAACCAAAAGGAAGAAACAAGAAAGATCAAATTCAAACACAATCAAGAAGAGCTTTTTAGTTATATTTGATATGACTAAATTCAAATATCATTATGTAAATTTCAAATTCAAATACTAATTGATTCAATCATTAATTTTATTTTGACATTGTTGAATAATTTTTTAATTGGGTTTGGGCCAAAGAATGTGGATATGGGTTAAATGGGTAGAAAAAATTTGGCGGGTTGAAATTTAAATTTATCCAATAAAAAGATGCCACATAATAATTAATAATAATAATAATAATTAAAAAAATAAAAGATTGTTAGTTTAAGGGTAATTGGGGACCAGAAAGGTGGATGAAACGGTATTTTTAACCTAGTAGGTGAATGAGAGGTATTTTTAAATTTTTTTGAATAGTTTAAGAGTTCCCTTACATAAAAAAACACTCTGGAGTAATAGAAGTCATACATTTTCGAACTTGAGGAGTAAGTTCTGGACGTAAAAGCGCAAGCCTCAAACGTTAAGTTTGACTTTTGTTATGGATCATGTTTTTTTTTTTTTTAAAAAAAAGAAATTACGGTGTAAGAATATTTAAAATCTAGCATAACCAAAGTGATTTTACTATAATTTTGAACTCTTTTATCTTCATTGGTTTATATAGTACTAGTACATGTATGTATAAATTTTATCAAGGTAAAAAGTTTATCACAAATATAATTAATTTTACAAAACTTTTAAAAAATCGACGTATCTTAGAAAAATGATTCTAATTATAAGTTTTTTTTTCTTGGAAGAAAAATAAACTTTTGAAGAAAACTACTACATTAAACTAATCCATTTGAAAATTACTTTTATCAATATTGAACCAACAATTTCTGGAAATTAATGAAGGGAAAATGGTTTGATATACCCCTTAACTTTGTCATTTGAAGATGATATATCCCTCGTTAGCTCATATATGTCCTTACCGTTATACAAAATGGCTCACATATACCCCTGCCATTACAAAATGGCTCACATATACTCTTCATTTAACGGAAGTTGAAAAATTAGTTTTAAATTTATATTTATTACTTCTAATTCTTTTAAAAAAATTATTTAGTGGTATATATGATTCTTTTATTAAAGTTCAAGGTATATTTTAATTTTTTTCATACATAAATTATTTTTTGAATTCTTTTATTATAATTATTTGAGTTTCTTATTCTTATTTTGTTTTTTTCTTTCATTCCTTAGTTTAAAAAAAAATTAAACTATTTTTTTGTGTGTGTATTGTAATTTAATTTCGTATTCGAAGAAAAAATTTGGTCATCTACAATAAGTTTTACAAGAATATTAGTGAAACAAAAATAAATTTGATTATCAAAATAATAATTATAAATTAGTCATTGAAACAAAAAAAGTCAAAAAAAAATATGTTTGACGATGATTAAATTTACTCATATGAGATTATATTTTTTAGAAAAAAATAATAAAAATTTAGATTAAAATTAATTTTTTTTTCATTTCCGTTAGAGGAAAAAGGTATATGTGAGTCATTTGTTTACAAGTAGGGGTATATATGAGCCACTTTCATAACAAGGGGTATATCAGCTCTAAATGACAAAGTTGAGAGGTATATCAGACCCTTTTCCCATTAATGGATAGTAATCTCCAACCATTCAAAAATACTTATTTTATTTCTAAAATATAGTCAAAACACCTTAAGTTTTCTAAATAAAAACTCCAAAAAGAACCCTTTTAACTTTCCAAAATCTTGACCAAACTCTTATAGTTTGACGGAAATAATCTCTTATTAAAAATTAAACAGATATTTTGTTCAGATCTTTTATATTTTATTTAAAAAATAAAAACTTTTTACGATTATAAAATCAAATCTCCGATATTCCGATAAAAATTGTATATCATAGCAAACTAATAATCTAAAATAAATGGAGTAGCTAGGGTTTGATTTAATTGTGCTTCATAGCAAACGTTTGCAAAAAATTGCCAGGCGCCTCTCTCCCAAATATCTCGCTCGCCACTCTCCTCCAGTCTCTCGCTCGCTTCCTCACTTTTTATACAAACACAAATGTATAAAAATTGTTTCTAATTGTATAAAGCAGAGAAAATTGTATAAATATATATTTTTTTATTCCCTTCTCTTCCCTCTTTCAGATCTCGTCCGCCACTCTCCCATATCTCGCTTGCCATTTTCGTCTTTCTCACTACAGAAGGGAAATCTATAAATTGCGTTTCTGTTTGTATAAAGCGTGAGAAAATTGTATATACGCATGCAAGTATATATATTTTCGTCCTATACACTTATAATTATACAATAAAAATACTTCCCTGCCCAGTTTCTTTTGCCTTTTTCTCTTTCTCGTTTTATACAATTTTCAAATTGTATCTAATTTCTCTCTTTCTCGTTTTATACAATTCGATTCAATTGTATATTCCTTGTCAAGTCTCTTTTGTCTTTCTCTCTTTCTCATTTTATACAAATTCAAATTGTATATAATCTTTATATACACTTATAATAATACAATTCATTTTATACACTTCATTTTTATACAGTTTTCTGCCCAAGTGTCTTTCTCTTTCTTGTTTTATACACTTCGTTTTATATAATTTTGCTTCAATAATATATATAGCGAATTATATATTTTCTATGTTTGCTATTATGCAAACTTTATTATAACATATAAATATAAATTTTATTATAACATACAAATATAAATTTTTTTATTTGCTATATGTGAAAATTGCGGATAAAAGTTTAATTAGAATCCTAGGTAGTATAAGCCCATTTAGAATTATATTATTGTCCCTGTCTACTTTTTTTTTTCAAATTTCAAAAAACAGAGCAACGTTCGTTTTTCATCATAACACTGAAAACTGGAGAAATCACCGGCCTTTCAAAGGCAACTTTTTTTTTCTTCATCTCTCTCTGTGAAGATTGTAAAAAGCATCAAAACCCCTTTTTTCCCTTTTTCTTGATTACCCATTACCCTTTTTTTTTTCATTTCAAAAACTCTCAGATTCGCCCCCCTTTTTATCAATGGATGTTGGTGACTGGCATGATCCACTTCTTATTACTGACGCTTCTTCCCAACAACAACAACAAATATCGCTTAGCTTTAACAAATACTGTAAGCTATTTGATTTGTATATACACATAAATTGGTGTTAGTTTTTGTAGCTTATTGTCTTACTCTGTTTATTTTGGCAGACCCCTTTTCGTTGTCGTGTGATTTAGGAAATACAGTGATGGATGATTCTGATTGTTGTACCCCAATCAAGATTGAAGGTAATTATGCAAACCCTTTTTGGAGTCTTACTCAATTCTTGAAAAAGGGGATTTTTTTTTATTGATTGATTGTGGTTTATGTGTATTGATTTGGTTTTAGAAGGGTGTAATGCTGGAAATTTCAAGGACCCAGTTGCAGAAAGTGTGATTAATGGTGGGATATTTAAAAAAGATTTGATTTTTTTTCTTGGGTTTTTTCAAGATTTTGAATTATTGATTGTTTCTTGAAAATTTTTACTAGGTAGAGATCTGTTGGGGTTTTCATTAACATCTCCTGATTTGGTGATTTGTACTGGATCACCAGATATTCCTGCTCGAAACTACGGAGATTCACCTGAGTTTTTGAAGGGTTGCTCCATTTCTCTAGAAAATGGAATTAAGGGTTCTGAAGAGGTTCAAGCTGCTACAAAGTTGTTCACAGATTGGCAGGGATCAAAGGATGACGATTTGTGTGCGCCAGCTGATTTTGAGCTTCCTTCTCCACCAGTTGAAGAGAATTCATCTGAACTTTCAGTGCCTATAGTTAGCATTAATGTTGGATCAACAGATTGCATCAGTTCTGAGAGTGGCATTCAGTTTTCGGAGGATAAATATTTCTGTGGAGGCAATGTTCTGAGTACTGACACTAGAATTGAGGAGAGTATATGTGCTAGTGTATATCAGACTGCACGCGTTGGGAATTTTTCATACCACTTTAACAATTTAAGTGCTGGATTTTATCTAGTTGATCTGCATTTTGTGGAGGTAGTCTTGACTGATGGTTCTACTGGAGATAGAGTCTTTGATGTTTACATTCAACAGCACAAGGTGAGAATCAGTCACCTATAGTCTAATTATCGTCCTTGCGTGTTATGCAAATGCTGCAGTTTTAATGTTGAATTTGAGCTGAAATTTTGCGTAGGCTATTTCGTCATTAGATATCCTTGCTCATGTGGGAGCAAATAAACCCCTGCTGATATCTGACCTTGAAGCTCATGTTGATGGTGAAGAAGGGATTTCCATAAGATTTGAAGGGGTAATAGGAATGCCAATTGTTTGTGGCATTTCTATAAGGAAACATTCTTCGAGATGTAAGTTGAGAAATTATTAGAATGTATAGCTATTTTTTAATATCTTGTGATTCGTTTCCATGCCATCATTTTCTTGACATACTGATAAACTAGAGTAACTTGTATGCTTGTATATCAGGTACCGGAGAGTGTGAATTATTTGAATTTTCTGAAAATTCTCCACAAAGAAACTCACTAGAGGTTTGAGTCTTTAACGGCCTATTTATTGTGTGGTTAAGAATCATTAGAAGCTCGAATTAATATGCTTGTTTTGCTATTATCTAGGTAAATGGTGATATTAAGGCAGCTGGAAAGCTTCAATTAGCAAATGTATCTCGGGAAAAGGAACTGGAGGAAGTAAAGAGGCAGGTGGAGGAACTTAAAAGGGAGAATGAACTGAAATGCAAAGAATGTGCTGAAGCTTGTAGGTCCTTAAAGGAGCTTCAGAATGAGCTCATGCGCAAATCAATGCACGTTGGATCACTCGGTACAGAAATATCTACTCTTCAATAGAACTGCTTAAACTTTTCGAAAACTAATATGTTAATATTGCTTGTCTATAGCTTTTGCAATTGAGGGCCAAGTGAAAGAAAAGAGCAAGTGGTTTTCATCCTTGAGAGATCTGACAAGGAATTTGAAGGTAACTAATTTTTATGCTTGTTTCATATATTTCTCTTACCCTATAACGAAATTTATTGAGTTCATTTGTTTTTTTCGGCAGATTTTGAAAATGGATCAGATTAAAGTATCTGAGGAAGCTTCAACATATAAGCAGCAATTCCTAGCAGATTTTGCAGATATGAGCTCTACCATTCAGTCCAAATGTAAATATGTTTTAGCCACTGGAGTTCACTTATGTTAATAGCTTCTTTGGAAATGAAGTTTATGAGTTTGTCAATCCTCTTCTTATGATCACAGTAAAGGAACAAGTTGAATTGCACGAAGATCTCAAGATCAAGTTCATCAAGGGTGCTAAGGAACAGAGAGAACTTTATAACAAAGTTTTGGATTTAAAAGGTAGGGGATCAGTATGTTAAAACACTTATAAGAGCAATTAGTTCGATATCATATACTTGTTTAACTCTATTGGGTTGCTTCAGGGAACATTAGGGTCTTTTGCCGGTGTAGGCCTTTGAACACCGAAGAGACAGCTGCAGGAGCTTCAATGACAATTGACTTTGAAGCTGCAAAGGATGGGGAACTCACTGTGAAGTCCAACGGCACGTCTAAAAAGACCTTCAAATTTGATGCTATTTTTAGCCCCCAAGCCAACCAAGGTAACTACATCACATGCAGTCTTGATGTAAGTTGAGACTATTGCAAGCAATTACTTTAGCTAAAAGGAGCATAGTGCTAAGTTAAGAATACTGCTGAAAGAGTAGTGCTAGAAAGAGTACTTCATTATCTGAGGGAGCATCTTCAATGGTGTTCAAAAAGACCCTCTATGGGACTAATTTAAGAATAATGCTAGACTTTCACTTTAACTAAATTCATGATAGTTGTCAACAAGTAATCTGACTAATGGTTTTGAATCCAAGGAATGTATCGTTCTCAAGAAAAAAGAGTTCATGGGGTTAGAAAACCATCCAATTTGGAGGCGTTAGCAGGAAACAAGTCCTTGATCTAAAACATATCTGAAGTTATTGTCTCTAAATAGCATGTACAGAAAAGGATTCATTATTATACTCTGGATAAGTGTAAGCACAGAACAAATATAAATAAGTTGTTGCCAACATATCTATAATACTGTAGCAACCAATTATTTTGATGAAGTGTCATTTTCTCCCTATTTACATGATTTCCTGTAACTTGTTATTACAATAGCTGAAGTATTTGAAGACACTGCTCCCCTGGCAACCTCGGTTCTAGATGGGTACAATGCTTGCATATTTGCCTACGGTCAGACAGGTACTGGCAAGACATTTACAATGGAAGGCACAGAAGAATCTCGTGGGGTCAATTACCGAACTCTTGAGGAGCTATTCCGCATTATTGAGGAGAGAAAGAACGCAGTTCGGTATGAAATATCAGTGAGCGTCTTGGAAGTATACAATGAGCAGATTCGGGATTTGCTTGTTTCAGGATCTCAACAAGGCGTGAAAAGGTAGCTATAAAATAATCTTCTCACTTTTTTTACAAGCTAGTGGAGTTATACTTCAGAGAGTTGCCAAGCTATCAAGAACGAAGAGAACAATGTATCTTGTAAAATATGATTTTTATCAGTTAACTATACTTGTATGGCTGAGAATGATTCCTGTGGTGGACTACAGAAAATTCGAGTCTAATCCTAAACTACCATATGACAGTTTCATGTTGGTTCCATGAATTTATTTTAGGCTTGAAATCAAGCAAGATGGAGAAGGAATGCATCATGTTCCTGGACTAGTTGAGGCCCACGTGAATAATATGAATGAAGTTTGGGAAGCTTTACGAACTGGTAGCAATGCGAGGGCAGTTGGATCAACCAATGCAAATGAGCACAGCAGCCGATCACATTGGTTTGTGCATATAATTTATAGTAGATTTTCTTTTGTTTACACATTATGTCACTATTACTAATCAGGTACATTGTGTGTGTAGCATACATTGTGTAATGGTTAAGGGAGAGAATTTGCTAAACGGGGAATGCACAAGAAGCAAACTGTGGCTAATTGATCTAGCAGGAAGTGAGAGGATAGCTAAGACAGAAGTACAGGGTGAAAGGCTAAAAGAAACCCAAAATATAAACAGATCTCTTTCTGCCCTTGGAGATGTGATATCTTCACTTGCAACAAAAAGCGCCCATATTCCATTCCGGTACTTGCAATATTCTTGTGCACATTCTCAATATATTTTGCAACGTCTTCCTTTCTGATATTTTTTTTTTCATCGTCTTATAGGAATTCGAAACTTACTCATTTGCTCCAAGACTCACTAGGTATTTTTCTCTTTGATTTGGTTGATTCATGAACTTCAGAAGAAACTATAAACAACTAGGACCTGATAAGCTTTTTATTTTACAGGAGGAGATTCAAAAACATTGATGTTTGTACAGATCAGTCCTAATGAGAATGACTTGAGTGAGACTCTTTGCTCATTAAATTTTGCAAGTCGAGTTCGAGGTATAGAGCTAGGTCCAGCAAAAAAGCAAGTGGACAGTGTGGAGCTTCTGAAATACAAACAGATGGTAGCATAAATTTCTGTTTCGAAATTTACAAAAAAAAATTAAAAGTTTCCTCTAAACTCTAATCTCCCTGCCTTACGGAAATTATATTTACCTTGTCAGGTCGAAAAGGGCAAACAAGATATGAAGAACAAAGATGTTCAGATGAAAAAGATGGAGGATACAGTTCACGGTTTGGATATTAAATTAAAGGAAAAGGATATGAAAAACAAAAGCCTTCAGGACAAGGTCTGAATTCAAACTTTATTCAGATATGTGAAGTTTGAAATTATTACATACCACATTTTAGCTGATTAGGCTGTTAATATGATGTGCAGATTAAAGAACTAGAAGCACAACTTCTTGTAGAGAGAAAACTTGCTCGACAGCACGTTGACTCTAAAATTGCTGAACAGTTTCAGCAACAGCATATCAGACAACAGAATGAGGAGGAAGATGCAGCACCACCTACGAGGCTACCACTTGCCAGCAAAATTTCTGCTCTGAAGACTTACGATGAAAATAAGTTCCCACTTAATATAACTCGACCACTAACTGAGAACAATTCCTACAAACTCTCGGTGCCTTCTGCTAATGTAGATTGTGCTTTGAAGCACTATGACCTGACAGAAAAAGAAAACAAGGAAAACAATCCAGATATTGATGAACAACCAGTCGTTCTAAAGAGGTCAGGGAGAGCTTCTATGTGTCCCATTGCACACAGGATTCTTCCTACACCTGCTCCACGTCGTAACTCTCTAATTCCCATACGCACTCTATCAGCTGTACCTAAGTTGCCTCCTCCACTTTTTCCATTGAGATCAATTCAATCAGAGGGGATGGAAGATGCTGATGGAGCTGATTCAAAATGCTTACCTGAACCAACTCCACAGGATAGTCCTAAAGAGCTTAAGACAGCCAGTAAGAAGCTCAACAGTGTCCTGCGACGAAGTCTTCAGAAGAAAATGCAGTTCAAGTCTCCTATGCAACAGAACATCAGAAGAGTTGGCGTCAACGTGGGAATGGAGAAAGTTAGGATCTCTATTGGTAGTAGGGGAAGAATGGCTCAAAGAGTGATGCTTGGTAATGCTAGAAGAGTTCCAAAAGAAAATCAGCAGAAGCAAAGATGGAATATTGGAACAGCCAACAAAGCTGTTCTATGATTCTGATTCTTTATTTTACTACTTGTTTATTCTGAACTAACTAATTGAAGATGCTTCTTGCATGCATTTTGCAGCAACACAGTAACTGAAAAAAAAAGAGGAAAAAATGGTTTGCTGATTGCTCAACCTAAAGCCACTTTACTTCTTGTTTGTGGATGGTTGTTACCCGTTGTATTGTATTGTCAGTTTAAATACAACATTTGTTTTGATTGTTACTTATATAAATGTATCGTATCGTTTAAACCAATGGTTACATAACAACGAAAAGACTCATTTTATGTGAACTGATTTGTTACCTTAATATTTTCTTCTCATATTGTCTTTGTTTATTATTTAATAATTATTTTTAATCTTTTACATTACATTTTCATAGTTGCTTTACCTCGTATCCTACTTTTCTTATAAGTTTATCATTCCAATTATAAATATGTGACATTATTCATTCCCTCTTATATTCACGCATGTACTTAGGCTATATCATTTCAGTATACAAAGATATAAAAACAAAAAATTGCAAGGGAGTGTGTTCATTCGATATAATTTCACTTGTATAAGAGCGAAAGAAACCGAAAATTGAAGAGATGCGAGTGAATTATGATTTTGAGGAGTAAAAATTAAAAATCTCTCAAATATATAAATATTTATGTGAATAATCCACTTAAATCCAATTCAACTCATTGATTTAATATTCCTAAATTGGATTAAATATTGAGTGAGTTATGATTTTATATTTACTATTTATTAATTCAATTTATTTTACGTTATTCAATTATTGCCCAACTTGCTGACACCACTAACGTCAAGAAAAAGCTTCAATATTCAATATTATACAAACAGTATCAAATGTCTCTTTTTTTTTTTACTTTTCGTATTTCAAGTAATTTTTATAAAAAAATACTTTTTTTATATTTATAAATATTTAATTATTATTTTACTTTTAATAAAATAATTAAAATTATATAAATATTTAAGACTTATTTTAAATTACAAATATTAGAAAAATATTCTTTCTTAATTTCTATATTCAGAACAAATAATATCACGTAAATTAAGAAAAAAACAAATATAATAATTAAGATCAAATCATTTTACCTGCCACTTTGTTTCTTTGGATGAAGCTAAACTTAACATATTGAAGGTTCAAGTTTCAAGGGTATATAACGATAATAAGAAATTTCTAATTCGAATTCTCGTTATAAAAAAATATATTAAAGAGTGTATTTTTTAAAAAATAAATCTTTCACAGTGTAAATTTAAAAAAATTAAAAAATTAATACAGATATTAAACATCGACTAAAAAATTATAGCTCTTGGATCTCATCAAATCTTTGCAAAGCTAATAATGTTTCTTGACCCATAAAGAAAATATTTGGGATTCTTTTATGAAACAAATATTAAAGAATATGGTATTGGTAGTAAAGGCAAAACATATAAATCATATTACAATAAGTCACTGATTGCATTAAATAAATGTAAAAGCACAAAAAAAAAGAAAAACGAATAAAGAATGTCAAGATCAATTAGTGACTAAGGATTACAATAATATATCATAGGGAATTCTTATGAGTGAATATAATCTTTTACGATTTCTGATTTATTAAAGTATGTTTAAAAAAAAAATAACTAATATGAGACGGAGAAAATAGATAGTAATAAAAGATTGTCCAGAAACACATTAAAGGGACACAAAGTTCATTAATCTAGGATTAAATGTATACTTTACATGTTTAAATCAATATATTTAAAGCGTAAACAATATAAGATGATCCGTCATTGAATGATCTCCAAAATCACATTGGAATGTGCTTGGTTTTTGATACAAGATCAAAATTGTATAGGAGGTCTTGACGCAATTTCAAATGCTAGTTTATAAAGTAAAATTTATCGCGAAGAATTACAAAATCCACATATATCCCATCAATATATATGACTTTATTTTAGTTTCATACACAAACAACATGAATAATATTATACTATCACATCATTAAAATAATATCTATAAATGAACCTTATTTGACATTTGAAAATAAAATATGTTAATTTAGTATCATTTTAAAAGACGACGATAATATTATATAAAAATTATTTACACTGATGATTCACATTACTCTAAAAAAAAAAAAAAACTCTTTATATAGTGCCTCATATCAATAGCCAATACTCATCAATAATAACATTAGTATTCAATTTTTTTTTTTAATCTCTAAAATAGAATGGAAGAAGAAGTAATTTTATTAGATTTTTGGTGTAGTATGTATGGTATGAGGGCAAGAATTGCACTTGAAGAAAAAGGTGTAAAATATGAATACAAAGAAGAAGATTTGAAGAACAAAAGCCCTTTGCTTTTACAAATGAATCCAATTCACAAGAAAATTCCAGTGTTAATTCACAATGGAAAATCAATTTGTGAATCACTTGTTATAATTCAATATATTGATGATGTTTGGAAGGATATTGGACCTTTGTTAATTCCTAAAGATCCTTATGACAAAGCTCAAGCTTGGTTTTGGTCTGATTATATGGACAATACTGTAAGTTAAAAAAAAAATATTAAATTTATTTTCTTTTATTCGCGTTCGAATATAGAGATTTGATTTTGTAGTCCTTATTAACAATACATACTAGTTATAATATGATTGTTTTTAGAGGTGAAGATCAGGATTTGAAGATTGTAAGTTCAGGATTTTAGTGTTTTGAAATGATCAATTAATAATATTCATATATATACATTTTTTATTAATTAAAAAGGTTTAAAGATTCTATATCTGAATTTACGTTAGATAATACTAATGATTAATATTTTTTTTTACTTTTTTTTAAAAGCGGATCAATATATAGTGTTTCCATCATCCTTTCGTTTGAGTTGAACTGATTGATGATAGAGATGCTCAATAATTTGAGTGAGCCTCAGTTATCGATTAATGTTTTCTTAAGAAATATGTTGTTTTTTTTTTTAAAAAAAATGCTAAATAATTTCAATTGTGGAAAATATGAAGGTGCATGAATATGCAAGAAAGACATGGGCAACAAAAGGAGAAGAACAAGAGCAAGCAATCAAAGACTTTTTAGGTGGACTTAAATTGCTAGAAGGAGTACTTGGTGACAAACCATATTTTGGAGGTGAAAATTTTGGGTTTCTTGATGTATCTTTGATTGGTTATTATAGTTGGTTTCTTGCCTATGAAACATTTGGAAAATTTAATGTTGAATTAGAATGTCCCAAATTGATTTCATGGGTGAAAAGGTGTATGGAAAGAGAGAGTGTTTCTAAGGCACTTCCTGATTCTAAGAAAGTTTGTGAGTTTGTCCTTCACCTTAGGAACAAGATTGGATTGGAATGATCACGAGAATCATTTTCGTTAAGGAGCGTTTAATCGTATCGTATATCGAATGTGATTAAAAAAATAAAATGAAGACATGAACATGTCTCTTGTTGGATTCTTTTTTTAATGTATTTGTGGATTTTACTTATGTAATAAATGTTCTCTTTTTATGATGAAAGAATGGATCTTTTGGCTTTTCTTGATTTCATTGCCAACAAGTGGAATGTAGTGGAAATCTATTACTTTGGAAGTGAGTGGCACTCTTCTTTTAGCAATTTCTTGTTTTAGCGAGGATATAGTATATGCAGATAGAGGGACGATTTTGAATTATTAATAAAAATTATCATTTTGTTTTAATAAGGATAAAGTATATACAGATAGAGGGACAATTTTGAATTGTTAGTAAAAATTACCATCTTGCTTTAACGAGGATAAAGTATATACAGATAGAGGGACGATTTTGAATTGTTAGTAAAAATTACCATCAAGTTGACATACAATAGCATTTAGAAAGGTTCCTAAACCCCAAATTTACACAAAGATTCATTATATTGAATAGAGATTTTTAAATGACAACTTGGAGTGCTAAATTGTAAATTTTATTTATCGTTCACTTTTAGTAATTTATTTTAATTTTTTCACGCCTCTTAAGAAATAATGACAATGAGTATATACCACTTAGATTTAGAATACTATAGCTATAACCTATATACAACCAATAAAAAGGATGGGTCGAATTGGTTAATTTTTTTTATTGTAAATATAAAAATAGGTACTATTTAGTTCAATTTTTTTTCACACTTGATTTTTAAAATTTTATCTTTTAATCTAGAAGAAAATTGCAAAAACAAAAAACAAACCAATAACTCTTGCAAGAGAGTATCCAATAAATAGATAATTTGCTTAAAATATTACTTAATTACTACATGTTCTCTATTATTGATTGAATTAATTTTACCTTCAATATTCTTTGAGTTAGTTTTATGTCTTAATTATCAAGTTTTATGATTAGTTTAGTTTAATTTGTTACAAAACAAACCTTCACATTTTTGCTCCACAAAAAACAATCCTAAATATCTACTAAACAAACCATTTTGATGTTCAAAGTCAATAAAGTACTGCTCAAATCATATTCTAATAAAATAAAGAACACAAAAATAATGAAAAATTTATAATATAAGGAAAATGTGGGTAAGATTATAGAAGGCCAAATACATAAGCAGATTTCTAAAATTGTTAGATTTTTCCCGTCAGGTACCTCAACTACGTCAGTTTCCTATTGAATCATTGAACCCCCATAATTTATTCCGTTTAAGTAAACATCGTTGTCTGTGTTAGGTAGTGGAGCCTGATTAATTTTAGGTTTTCCTATTTATTGTCTATTTTAGGTTTTCCTATTTATTCTCTATTTATTCTCTGTAACCAAAAATACTCTGATTAGTTAATATAAATATACCTCACCGCCGTGGAAGTTTACTCACGGGGTGTTACCACGAAATATTGAGTTTTCTCTTTCTCTCTCTAGATCTCTCATCTCTTTCTCTTGAAAGTTCTTGTGTTCTTCATTCATCTAGTGTGTGTGCGTGAATTCGATCCTAACAACTAGTATCAGAGCTAAGGAGATTCAACACGATCACAGAAGATGGATAGTTCGAAGCTTGGAATCGTGAAGTTTGATGGATCCGATTTCAGTTTCTGGAAGATGCAGATCGAAGATTATCTGTACCAGAAAGATCTTCATGAACCGTTGACCGGGGTGAAGCCGGAATTCATGACGGAGGAGAAGTGGAAACTCAAGGATAGCCAGGCTCTAGTGTTGATCCGGTTGACTTTGTCAAGAAACGTGGAGTTCAACATCGTGAAGGAGAAGACTACGTCCGGTCTGTTGAAGGCACTGTCAAACATGTATGAAAAACCATCGGCTATGAACAAGGTATATTTGATGCATAGATTGTTCAATTTACAGATGTCTGAAACT